AGGTGATTTCCGTGCACGAGAATGCCACACCTGTGATTGTTCTCAAGGGGTCTATCCTTTAGATCGAAGGGAATCGTTCACATGGCTTCTGCCTGGGTTGTGCCTTCAATCGCTGGAATGAATTGACCCATTGAAAAATAATGGTAAATGAAATCTCTGCTGATTTCTTCTTCTCTTCACGAAGATGTTGGGTAAACATTATTGAAATACGTTTCGGCAAAATCACCACTTCAAAAAACGAAATCAAACGACATCGCAATATACCACCATGTGCCGGAGATTAACATCTGTGTAAATTTCCCAGATATTGATTAACATGATAGAGTGCAAACCCCTCCCTAATCTCTCTCTCTCAGGGACGTGAAATCTCCTTCCCTTTACGATTAATGTCGAAGTTTACAGTGTGAAGCCGCGCTCGCATGTATCAGATGTTTCAGGAAAATATGAGGCCATGAAACTCAGCTGAAAATTTCAAGCACTCATTAGTTGAATCAAATGAAGACTCCTACTCCCATCTTCTACAACCTCCCATTCAACAAGTGTAGAATAATCCCTGCTGAATCGCTCAATCCCTCAACCTTGACAGCATTAATCTCATGCGGCCGGGAACAGGAAACTCTGCCCGGGGCGGGTGCCCTCTCCCCACACCCGAAGTTGGGCTACATCCCAACCACGAAAACATATTCCAACTCCGGGACATGTCCCTGATGCGGGCGAGGCAACGGATTTTCAACCTTGGGAACGTGTCCTCAACCTCGGAGGTGCATCAACATCCCCAATATGCAGCAAGAGACCGACAGTTTGAGGTTCGTCACAGCCCCCTCATTTTTCGATATGTCCTGTGACGGACCATTCGAAACAGTCACTCTCCGTCGACCCTCCGTGTCTCCGTCGTCGTGAACGAATCACTCCCTAAGTCTAGACTAGGGGATAGGCCGGCAGAAAGTTGAGGCAGTGACCGTTTCGAATGGTCGCGTCATAGAACCCATCTGTTCGTAACCCTTGAACTGTCTCTTGCTACTTATCGAGGATCTTGAACCTCCCTCAATGGTCTTGCCGCGAATAGATGATTAGATAACGGCGTATTGCTCGACTACGAAAGGGAAAGTAACAGTTTTAAGACCAGGTCGGAATCGGCGTCGCCAGAGATGTCATCGACGGGCTGGTCAAGATGTAGCGCCTGTTCACTCACGCTCCCCCGCGCGGACATCCACTCTCGCCATGCGCGAGCCGTCTGTGCTCTCTGCGCGTTCATCCACTCTCTCGACAATTCCCACGCTGCACGGAATCATGGTCGAGGAATTCGTCGACTATTATCCACCCTCTGGTGAGTCAATTTGGGGCAAGAGTGGGGATCGCAGTAATCAGAGCCGCACCCGGGTCTCTAGCGGTGTGCATTCCTTGGGCGCACGCATAGTTGGTCGTCCGACAGCAACGATCGCAACTGTCTGATTCCCTAACTGAATCGTCGAATACTCAGGCATGTCCTACGATCGATACGCATCCAATGTTGGTGCGACAGTTACGACAACCGATTTTGCGTGCGCCCTTCGCCAATCACGACCGGCCACTTGTTTAATGTCGGCTCGCCAATCCTAATTAACACGTAAGGCCCTGTTCAGAGATGTCCGCCGGCGCGAAAAAACGCACAGGCGAAAATCTCCGCCAAGATTTAGATACGCATCGACTGAGAAATTGTGAAACGCGTAAGCGAAACGTCCGGAGCAGGCGAATTTCAGTCAAGAGTTTGATATGTATCGACTGTGAGAAACGCACAGGCGGAAAATCGCGTGAGCGAAGCGTTCGTAAGTCGATGCGTATGATACTCATTTTCGTCGATCCTCCCACTTCACGATTCGCCTGTGCGTCTTCGTTCAGTCGATACATATTTCACATTGTTTCGCCTATGCGTTTTTTCGCGCAAGCGGACATCTCTGAACAGGGCCTAGAGGGAAACAACGAACGTCGAAGCTTAGCAGAGAGTCACTCACGGCGATTTTGTCCACGGTCAGAGGATCGCATTTCACAACCCTACACGTCAGTGAACTTTTTGTAAGCAAACACTCGAGAGCACACCCTCATTTTCATCCTCATCACTGCTCTTTTCCCTTCGTTGAGATTCACCACGAAACGTTAGTCCAGTCCACAGGAAGGGCCGTCCTTGTCATCAAGGCCATAGCTTTGGTCTCTGGTCTCCTCTCTGCGGCCAGTCCTCTTCTTTTTGTGGGCATGAATAACCACTGTAAGAAAAGTACAGCCGTATGTCACGTGGTGAGCTAATTTGACATTTCGAGGGCAATGATAAATTAAAGTCATACACAGCATGGTGGGGCGTCGAGCGATCCTCTACTTGTGTGCAATTTCTAGTTTTGTTTTCATTTTATACCACGATTTTTCGCATCTTGTATATACCGTGGTATGAAATCCATCCTTTTTTCATTTTTGAACTTGTCCATCTCTTTTGACATTTCACTCCCCGCTTTCGTTGTTTTGTATTATATTTATTACATGAGGTATCTCATGTGTGACATCAGAAAACAAAAAGTAACCAGAGAAACTAAAAACACTGGAGAAATAACAACAAGAAACTGTGAAAAAAGAACACATAAAAATGCAAAGAGGTAAATAATTAGGAGGTAAGATAGAAATACTAGGAAGAAATAAGTAATAATTTAGTTTTGCTATTTTATTTGTTAACTTGTCTGGTTTCTGCCGAAATTCTTTGAAGAAGCCTGCAAGTAAGATCACAATCTGATTCGCAGGTGAAGGCTTGAAGATTTTATAGTCAGCTTGAATTTGTCTTCGATTTGCCAACTTCCACCCGTTTTTTCCATGTTCCTGTTTCTCTTCGTGCATCCGAACATCACATGTTGGTTGGCGCTGTCTCGTGCATCAATCGATAACGACTTGCTTGTGACTGCAGTCGTTCGCCCCTATTTGTAATCATTTTCTACCGGTTCACTTCCTTCGTTTTTGATTTGTCATCCTTCTAAACAATCCTACAGTATGATATGATCATTTTCAGAACTTAGAACCATGTTTTCCTGGTAATCGGCTGTCACCCGCATTTCATCCAGAGCGTTTTTCTTTGAATGGGAGGCTGGTTCTCTTCATTTCTCACTTTGAAGACATTGCTATACCCACCGAAGCAGCTTGCGATCAATTCATTAGGTATTAAATCTTTTATATTTGTGGTTTCCTTACAAAATTTTTTCCCATTTGTCTTACATGAACGAAAAAAATCAGTCGTTTGTGAACAAAAAACAACATAGCTTTTGCATTATTTCTTTACCAAATTGTTGCGGCGTTGTTTTCTAATCTATAACTTTTGTTTTGTCATCGTTCGAATGAGATTTGCGTTATAGACAATCAGCACACAGTTATGAACACACGCACGTATCACTGATAACGGGTGAGACCGAGGAGATGAATTATCGTTGGAGAAAGGAGAATATATTGGAACGGTGGGGTGTGTAGATTAAGATCGAATTCTAGGTCGAGTGAGGAGCAGATACGTATCTAACCCTACGTATCTGTTCTGCACTCAAATTGTAAGCCGAACTACAAAGTAGGATTCAAACCTCTCCAGTTATCGGGGTAGTGGTGTTATACAGGGTGATTGTTTTGGTTACAAGGCTTCTGTCAATGAAAGGGTGAGAGCGTAGCTGAAAAAGCACACACTTTGTCCTTACTGGGACTAAGCCTTTTGAGGCCGATGTCAGACTTTGCGAATCGCGCGATTCGCTAGCGTCTGCGGTCGCGTCGCGGCCAGTGAATCACTCAATTGGCTGGTACCGCAACGCGACCGCGGACGCTAGCGAATCGCGCGATTCGCAAAGTCTGACATCGGCCTGAAGGAGATAAAGAAAGAGGAGATACTGTGATAGTGTGCACTTGTGAGAGCTCCCAGACATCACTACAAAACGCTGAACCTGAGCCTCACGGTTGACAGAAGTCCTGAGACCAATTGATTTCAATCGTATGCTACAAAATAGAGGTTTAAGAGAGCGCTGTAACCATTTCTCGGCATTCGAATGTATGAACTTGTCCTTTTCATGATGGCCATCGGTTTCGAATCATTTTTGTGGGAAATGTGAATTTCTGGTAACTAATACAGACAAAGCGAACACTTACACAGTCGTGATAAAGCGTGACACTGAAGAAATTATCAAGGGCTTCAGAAAGAAACGTAACAAAAAACATGGCGGCACGTGCTAGCTGCGATTGCTTTTCTTTGAAGGAGTATACCACTCCTGCTTATCGATCGCCTTTTGATTTTTCTCTATTGCTGTTGAATTGCTGAACGACTTGCACTAACTGTGTGGCATTATAACTTTGGAAATTTATCTGTAATGGATACCCTTCGCTATTAATTAAAATAACCAGCTTCCTAGAATTCTAAACGTACGAAGTGCCGTGCACTTGATAGAAGTTGCGTGGATAAGCTGTTGCCAGCATGCTTTGCTGATATCCAGCGATGTATGTTGGAAGCAGCTTATCCACATAGCTTCTATCAAGTGCACGTCACTTCCGGTGACACGCCTACCCCAACTCTCGGATATCGAGTATATCTCAAATTCTTTTGCTATTGTTTTGCTAATTTCAGCTGATCCAAATCCTGATCCATTTGTGTTATTATCGGCAGCCGCTGAGATTGCAGCGTTACACAGAAGAATGGAAGACACATCAGGAGATTGCGTATGTTACTTCTCTTTCCTGTAAAGCTCTATCGGAATGTTTCACAAGAATGCTGGGTTGTGAACAAAACTTGTTCATTCCAAAGCTGAGTTGGAATGAAATGGTGCCCCGGTAGCGTAACTGGTAGCGCACTTGCCCGGAAAGCGAGAGGTGCGGGTTCTAGTCCCGCCTGGGGCGAAAGTTTTGTTCACAACCCAGCATTCTTGTGAAACATTCGCAAGGCGAACTGCGGCCAAAAACAGCAGTTAACAAACAAAAACAAGCTCTATCGGAATATTTTTCATGTTTTGCTGTAAGGTTCTCCAGTCATGTCTTTTTTTTGAATGGAAATTTTTCGGCTCTGTTGTCTGTCAGGAAGGTCTGCTGGACCGTAATTGCGCGCTGCTAGGGCGCTTTCCTAAACGCCTATCGTCTATCGTTGCGATCGTCACGATCGGACGACCGACTATGAAAGCGCCCCTATTAATAGGACCTATGACACATACTGAGGCCTGGAACACCTGACAAAACATGTAAATTAATGTAGTACCTTCAAAATGGGATCTGATTATTCGGTAAAATTTTCTATTTATTTACTGTATCCGTATTTTTTATAAACGCAAAAATGTAATACGCGCCTGATTCTGGATAGAATTTGCGTTGAACTAGCTTTCCTTCAACTTGTCGTCCATTCTCCATTCACGGTTGCCACTTCAGCGCTTCAAGGAAGTGATCTATCTTTTCCTAACAGTCCATTCTTTCTTTGATCTATCTTTTGATGTGCGCCCGTGCCAATTCAATTTGTGAACCTACGGCAGTCAGGTGTCCTCAAGTTAAGCAAAAGTGCACGGTTTCGTTCACGAACGATGTTGGCCAGGTTCCCGTAACTGCGCCAGGAACCCGGCTTCATCGTAGTAGCAGGCAAAGCGTTGCAAAGGATAATTTCTTCAAATGTTGTATCGTCCCGATCACTTACAATTTCTACGAGCTTCTTCTTCGTACCGTTGTTATCATTTACAAACCAGGAGTCTTTCCTTCTGCGATGTGGGTCTCACCAACTTGAGCAATTTTACCTGGACATTCGATCTTTACGCGCTGATTGCCGACCCCGAAATATTGATAGTTTTTTGAACCGAAATTTTTTTTGCTATACTCCATGTTTTAACATTGTTCCATATCTCACTCGGAAGTACTTCTTCTGCTCTCTTACAGTCTTGTTTCACTTTTCCTTTGTGAATTGGTAACAGTAAGGCTAGGCCTAGTAACAAGATGCCTAGTCAATGGGAATGACGTCATTGTCTGAGAATTTTCTGAGAATCTGAAAAACCAATAGGCGTAGCTTCGACGGATTTTCAACCTCCCTGTAGTTTTCCAGCATTCCATATTTCAAAATTCCAAAGTCCGATTTGAAGACGTAGATAAAGTTCTTCCTATATAAACGTATTTCAAAAAGGAAAGCAACAGTAATTGGCCTGTCCAGTAGCGGAGCCCTAAGTAAAGTTTGTGAATAAGTAAAGAGTACATTACTGATTGATTTCTTTCAGAGGAGCATAGGCTTTGAGTTAGTTGCCGGCTTGGCTAATTTCCCTCTACTGAAACTCCCAATTTGTAAGCTTGTAATGATGGCTACAATAAAGGGAATTAAATGTTTTTGAAGAGCGGTCTGTTCTCTAAGGAAGCTATATAAAGGATAAAGCATTTGCCGTTGATCAATCCCTTTTTGGGATGCGGCACGCATTCTACTTCCATTTGTACATTCGTAGTGGCGTTTGAATGCGATGTGGCCTATACAATGACTTGCGGGGGCCAGCCGATGTACAAGTCAGTGTTTTTATCCTCCCAGACAAGTCTGGTACCAATTAACCGACCCCGGAGGGATGGAAGGCTTGGTTGGCCCGGGCGACTCACGACCCAGGATTTGATCCCCGGACCGCTCGCGTGGTAAGCGTGCCACTTGCCACTACACCACTTCCGGGAACGATATTATTGTTACATTTTGTGAGAATATGGGATACCAGAGAAAAAATTTCCATACGAAAGAAACGGCACTACTTATCGAACAATCTTATATATGGAAATGAATTCATTTCCGATTTGAATGTGGACCCTTCATTGATATGGCAAATCCAATAAATTGTGAAAGGATCTGTGCTACATTCATCATATTTGACCATTTCGTACTTGTTCAAATTATGAAACGACATTTTGCTTGAACGTTGACGGATAATCAATCGTATTTTTTCAAGTGTAGAATTCTAAAGATACTCTGTCGCGATTACAGCCATTTTCTGGAGGTCGGATGCTACAGGCAGACGCCGGTCAATCATCACCCAACTATGATGATACTGATTTGGTATGCCCTTCAATCCATTTTTCTATCGATTCATCTTGTTTAATATTGTTTGCTTTTGTATAAGTTTCTGAATTGTAGGAAGACTCGGTCACCAGCTTGCTGCGCGACGAGAAGGATGAAACGAGCAGTTCGGATGAAGATTCGGCCTCTGAAACACCTTGTCCACGGGTCATGGAGCGTCGTCATCGAGAAATGTTTGATATACAGCGGAAGATGACCTTTCGTGGTCGCATGTTCGTTGGAAATCGAGAGGTACGTATACGTGGTACCTACTTTACATTTGACTTCTCTTTTGCACAAAGTTGCGATAATGAGTACATGGTCTGAAGGTTATCCCGTCTTAAGATCGCTATACTATTATTATTATCATTACTTTCAGACGTTTCGAGAATTGCGTGAAAACATTTTGTGCCTATGTAATGGGTTAAGTCCGGCATCTACAAGCATTGCTGAAGTGTGTCGTCAACGCGAAATTTACCGATCTCGTGGCGGTAGCTCGTTGACTTTCGGAACGAAAACCAGGATTCTCAATCAGTAAGTGTACGTCAATGCGGAATTAGTTTCCCTTTGAAAGGTCTGCTATAAACATTTTGAATACCACATAGCCTATGCTGCATGATCACTAATCGAAAATTTTGTGTTGAGTAAAGAGTTATTTTGATATGTGATATTCAGATTCTTGCCTAATTGCCGGAGGGTAGTGGACAAATTAAGATCCAAATCGTTTTGCTGTTCCTATATCAAAGGTGGCACCGAATTGGTTGTTTCTAGTCAGGGTGAGTCGATGTCTGTTATCTAGAATTCATGAATTGTGTACTTCTTAATTTAACTCTTCAGACGAGTTCATTCGGTTTTTTGAGCAACGTGGACCACGAGATCGCTATTTCTTGAAAAACGCCATACGTGTAAGTTTTTTTTTGGATTTTTCAGTGTTTGCGAATCTTAGCATTAGGGGCGATTCATGCATAGTCTATATCACCGTATTGCATGCCAGAATCCATCAGGTAGTGGAATTGTTCTGGTGGTGGGTTAGTGGGTATGGGAGGCCAAGAACATCAGGGCGCTAGAAGTACCTTACCACTTTGCTTTTCAACCATGTGGCTTACAAGTATTACTGTAGTATTGGATGTTAAAACTGTTTAGGTACCGTGTGATTCTCATTTGACTCTGTAGTTTTTAGGTTCCCATAACCACTTGGTCTATTCTTGATGTCGCTGTAAATAGAAGAGGAGATGCGCTGTGTTATGGAACTTGGAAAGATTCCGTTTTCTTCGCAAGGTTCGAAGTGATGCTCAATACTCATTGGATTATTCTTAATAAGCGCATTTTCCTAGATTATCTGAATGTACTGCGGATAACCCCACTGGTGTTTCTTGGACTGAACTTTCTGTTCCTAGCCAAGACTCGTGAGTTATAATTTTTGTGCTCAAAACCGCGCATTATGACAAGTGTTCTGCTTTTTTTTCATTCACATCATATTACCATTTAGCTTCTTTCTTTAGAAGTATGGCTATATTTTCCCTACGGTTTTCACGGCGAGGGCATGAAGTGTTGTGTGGTGGTTCTGATCGAAACTTACACATTTATGATTTGGAATCCATGAGCAGGGTGGGTCTGGACTCCTTCGATTCTTATTTTGATTACGTTCAGTGTTCAAATAGACGGTTCAGTGATTTTGCCGTGTTATTCTTCATTTTTCGCACGTATAAGTTTTATTTCTAGGTTGTCACAATTTCGGACGCGCATGCAGACGACATTAATGCGGTTTGCTATGGTGATACCGACTCCAATTTACTGTACAGTGGAGGTGATGACGGTCTGGTGAAGGTATGTGTTCTTAAACATCCGTTGCTTCTTTTCTGGTTATTGAACTCCATGCTTCTTCGAATCGGTCGCTTTTTCATTGCTTCTCTGCTGTATTATATGTAAGAAGAGGAAAATGCTTTTTCTTTTTATATACAGATTAACAAGGGAGGTCGTTCAGGGTGTGCCAAGCTTTTTCAAAACGGTTTTTTGCATGATATAGGGGGAACCACAGAACCATGGAATTTTTCCTGAACGGCCCTCTGAATACCAGAAAAGGGGGTCCCTAGTTCGATTCCTCGTGGTGACAAATTTTTGCATTTCGAGTTGACGTTTCAAAATTCGCGCAAAATGGAGTTAGCATGAATAATTAGTACCATATTCATGATTAGGACCGTCAGTAACCCTTACAAATAGACTTTGATTAAAAAACTGGTGGAAAAGGTGTGACATCACAGTGGGGCCGTTTTGGTGTCACACCTTTCACCAGTTTTTTAATCAAAGTCTTTTTGTAAGGGTTACTGACGGTCCTAATCATGAATATGGTACTAATTATTCATGCTAACTCCATTTTGCGCGAATTTTGGAAACGTCAACTCGAAATGCAAAATTTGTCACCACGAGGAATCGAACTAGGGACCCCCTTTTCTGGTATTCAGAGGGCCGTTCAGGAAAAATGAACCATGGTTCTGTGGTTACCACATGTGCCCCAATGCAAGAAACCTTTTTGAAAAAGCTTGGCACACCCTGAACGATCTCCCTTGTAAATGTCGAACTTTTTCGGATTCTGCATGAGAAATTGCTGGCTGATTGGGGCACGGGTGAAATTCCTGCATTTCTATCCTTGCCAGTTACCCTGATCTAGCTTGAGTTTGGCTGATCCAAATGAAGAAAAATTGAAACTGGAGCGCTGTTTCTTCTAACTACATATTTCTGGCGTATAGCATATCATTTTGTCAATTTTTTTCCATTTTGCCATCATCACTACAGGTTTACGACCGACGAGCTCTTGGAGAACTGGATTATCATCCAGTTGGGGTGTTCGCTGGTCACCGTGATGGGATTACTTACATCGACGCACGTGGTGATGATAGGTAAAGTTGTCGAAATTCATGTCTCGAAACATGACTTCTTAACCTACTTATCTGTATAGGTATCTCCTGAGTAATTCAAAGGATCAAACTATAAAGTTATGGGATCTGCGCCGGTTTTCGAATGAAGAGACAGTGGTGAGGAGGACATCTTAATTAAATGGGCTATGCATTATATGTTTCTGGTACTAATTATATGCAGATAGTAGTAAGAAAATATTGCAGCGGAAAAACAGTGAATTGTGTACGACAGCAATCATGGGATTATCGGTGGCAGCCAGCACCTCCTTGCACCCTTACACCCCTGAAAGGTAGGTTCTGATTGCGAGAGGTACTTGTTTGTTGTCATAATTTACTTTGAAATTCAGGTGACACATCTGTGATAACTCTAAAGAGGACATAGTGTGTTGCACACCCTGGTGAGGGCTAAATTTTCACCTAGTAGGACTGGCAAGCAGTTCATTTATACAGGATGTGCACGAGGAGAGGTCTCGTCAGTGATGAGTCAATGGCTTTTAGAAGTAGAATTGATAGCATGAACAGCGAATTGGGTTCTCTGAAACCACCTTGTTGCAGTTTATGACTTGTTAGCGAACTCGTCATCATCGTCGTCGAACGAGTCGGGTTCAAATCCGGTTGCTAGAAGGTTGCCGGGTCACGTAGCAGTTGTCCGCGATGTGGATTGGAACCCATCGAGCAATGAGATTGCTACTTGCGCTGTGAGTTCTATTACCTTAAAGTTTGGTGTTGTGATGAAAGAGAAATGCTCTCGAATTCTTAAAGGCTGCGTTTATGCTAGGTTCTGGAGTGGTTCAAAGGCAAGATTCGAGAGAAAAAATAGGTGTGGAAATGCGTTCGGTTATGAAGCTAAAGGTAGAAGGTGATGTGGAAGAGAAGGAAAGCAGCAAACAAAACCAAAAGTCACGCTCCGCACAGACCCCTGTTTCAGCCGCATTCCACTTTGAGATAGAGTAGGTACGTGTTGGACGAGTTTCACGAACCTAACTCTAGTTGCTTTAGTGCCAATGAGTCGCATACGGGACCGCTGCCTCAGATGCGCCCGCGCTTTTCAAGCAGCGCCACGTCGCAACCGACAGCGACGGTGTGCGTTGCGGGTCGGACGAGCTCCTTGCGTCTTTCTCGCGCACTTTCAAGCGGCAAAAGGGGCGCGACATCAACACTTGTCTACTACTCCCGGGATGGACAAGCGAGAGCGCGCCTAGTCCGGGAGCGTGCTTTTAAACGGAACATGGAGGTGCTCAATGTACGGCACATTGCCCGAAAAAAGAAAACTGCAGACTCTCGATCAAAAACGCAGAACGGACCTCTCGTGTGGACGTTGATTTTCGCCCAGCGGGCAGCTTCTAAGGCGACGGACGAGTTCACTGCAACGCCTTTGGTAGCACCATGTCAACTTGCTGCACTCTAGTTGCTCCAGTTGGCCTTTGCTGGCAACACAGTTTGTCCATGTCACCAACTAAAAGCAACAGTCTCAGCAGGGTTCTTAGCTACGATACTGATGGGGTGAAAGGATGCACTAGCCACAGTCAAGAACATATGAAGTGTAAGTGAATAGAAACCTCACCCTGGAAAGCGGCAAGAAAGGGGGGTGAACGCCTCTGAAGGCTGAAAACCTTTGACAACACCCACTTCCTAGCCGTAGAGGTGCGTGATCGGAAGCGGGTTCTGCGCGATCCCTTTAACTATCCCGTGTTTCGAAATAAATGCTGCGTCATTTTGATTGGTTTTACTTGCTTAACTCATTTGATTATTGTATTCCTTTCTTTCCACTGATGCATATTTCTCTGTTAGATTTGCGCAAATGCGACAACAGCCGCATTTGTACTAGTTCAACTCGTCCGACACTCCTTTTCCTTCATTTCAAAGGTTAAGAGGGGAAGCTTCTGTCATAGGCTTTCGCCGGCGCGTTTTTCATTATCGACTTTTACCCCGCAAATTCGATCTGGAATTGTTGCTTCAAAACTAATGGGTGGAACGCTTTTGAGGCGGAGCGCTTTTAAAGAGCTGCAAAGCAACCAGGCATGCGTCGTGAAACGCACTTCGCTTTCCCTTGGCAGCCGAAACTACGCTCGTGGTAGCGCACGTACTTCTACCGATGCGCTGTGCTAGCACTATTCGCCCTTCATCTTAAGGAAGGATGCCCCGAAAGCTTATTTCTTTTTATGCTTAACTTTTTAAACATGTTAAAGGAAGCGATTACGATAAGGAATTTTCGCATCGGGGGAGAACCTGCGCCACACGGAGCAATTACTTGGCTGCCAAGGAAGCGATGTGTGGTCCTCCCACGGCGAAAGGTGCTGTGGTTGCTGAGCAGGACCCGTGTGACGCTCCGCCCCCAGTGACGTAACGCCCACTAGTTTTGTTGATGATCTGGATGGACTGTTTGCTGTTGGCTTTTCATTTTGGATGATCATTCCCTTCTAGCGGCTGTATCTTCCAACTTGCCCACGTATTGCCTTATCAATCAAAACACTATGCTTGTTGGCATGATGGCGGCTATCGGGGTTAACACGTCCGAACAACGTCGTTCTTTACCGTCGCTCATCCATGGTCGAAAATGAAAGGGCAATCAAAGGGGTACTATTTTGCTTATTTTTGACGGATTTCTTTGCTTTTTTCGCCATTGGCGTACTATTGAGACCCTCACGTCCCCTCTAAACCCCTTGAGATCTATCGTAATCGCTTCCTTTAAAGATTTAAAAGAGCGGCGATTGTAGAAAGGGACCCGGAGAGCAGTTTTATAAAAAATAAAAACGACTGATTAGGACTGAACATTATCGTGCTTCGAATAGAATGCGGCTGAGTGTAGTCGAACGCGCATAATCATAGCTCTTCATACATGCATTACGCTTCGCACGCACGAAGGAGATCGGGCATTTTTCGTGGCCCATTATTGGAACCTTGAATAGCGTTATTTCATTGAGCTCCCAGCCCGTTATTTCATCTTAGGTCGAATATCATTAGTCTAATCGAATTAAAAGGACTTTGGCCCGCAAGAGCTACTGAGCGCATGAACGTGAAATTTTCTGGACTGCGTCAGACAAGACAGTTTACTCCTTGTCAAATTAATCATTGATTGACATGAAATTCTTCAGTGGACGGTGTGACGGCAATATGGAAATGGGACGAGCGACACGACCATGTCACATCTAGTGAGGTGAACCAAATTGGAGCCGAAGATTCGTGTGACGAATCCTACCAACCGGTAGTGAAGCGCCGCAAAGCGGTGCAGCGCCGATTGAAGTGCTCGGCTAAACGAAGACAAGAGCCACGGGCAGAGGACGCCACCGCCACCGAGTCACCAAATCCTGAACTGCTGTACACATTTTGAGTAGATAGGAGGAGGGATATGCAGAATTATGTAGGTTTTACTGGTTTTAAACGTTTTGTTGGTTTGGGAACCGCGTTTTTATTTTCGAGTGGATTTTGAGCTGGTGTTAAGAATGGTTAGCGATTTATGGAAGAGATGGTTTGAGAGCAGTAGATCATTTGATTCATAGAGTTTCCATTCCTTGAGGCTTATCTTTGCTGGTTTTCCTTTTAGTAATACATTCTTGAACTCCAGCTCATTTTTTCGTATTTGAAGCTTTTCAGCACATTCATTGTATAAATACTTGCCTTTTTTCTAACCATCTCGATTTTTCGTACCCGAAGTCGATGTTTCTATATAATATTTGAATTCTGGATCCTGATCAAGTTTTTGTTTATAATGTCGTTTTCTGTCCTTTCATAGGCTAACCCAAATTTTCGTCATTTACGCATGTGATATCCATTTGTGGGCGAATAGATGTTACAGAGGTACAAGCGTGGTACGACAGATGGATCGTTTCCATCCTTCTTAAACGCGTCATTCACCGACCTTTACGCGCACTCCTCTTTGCTAAAATCTTAATAGTTTTATGTGTTGTAAACTTGTACAAATGCATCGAATACCAGTAACGTACATGTCCAATGCTCGAGTCAAAAAGTGTAGTGATTTTTTTCCATTGACACCGATGTGATTACTGATAAATGCGAAGTGTTACGCTTGATAGCAATTAAACATTAAATGTAAATTAACCTCCTCAAAAAGGGAAGAGCGTCGGGTGCAGACCATACACCACAAGTGACGACGGCCTCCAAGTAAATCTGGTTAGTAGTGGTTCATAGTGATAGCTGATTTTTGGTAAATGATAGTTGTAATTAGTGACAACTGATAGAATACAACTGCAACAGGCTAATCATTTCATTGGCAGAAAACATTTACATTTTGTGGAGGCCGTCGTCACTTGTGGTGTATGGTCTGCACCCGACGCTCTTCTCGTTTTTGAAAGGGAGAATACCTTATCTTTAGTCTTTTCTTTTTAAATTGATTTATTCAAGATAATGATGATCGTATACAAAGATGACAGCCATTATCAATAGTCACAGTATGAAAAGTGATTAAAAATGTAGAAATGAAAGTCGGTGATACTCGTATCGTAATCATTCCCGTTATATTCAATAGCAAAGAAACATAGTGTGAAGTTTTATGATTATTTGCGGCGAAAATCTTCATTCTGAGCTAGAAAAATAGCGAAAAGATAGGTGACCATTACAGTGTTAGTATGACTGTTGGTGATTGGGCTTTGAGACACGACTGCTCACCTACAGTTCGAGAGTTGGAGTAGTCGTCACCGGAAGTGATGTGGCTGCCGCCGCACTTGATAGAAGTTGCGTGGATAAGCTGTTGCCAGCATGCTTTGCTGATATCCAGCGATGTATGTTGGAAGCAGCTTATCCGCGCGACATCTATCAAGTGCGGCTGCCCCACGTCATTTCCGGTGACACGCCTACCCCAACTCTCGGATATGAACTGTATTTCCCGCTTTTCTGCGCGCGTAATTTCATGACGTCAATTCGAAAGCAAATTCCATCGAATCGATAAGATAGAGATAGCTAGTTATATTGAGCTTAAATAGTGAATAAAGAGTTAAGAAAATAAATTAGTGGCAGGTCAGTAAAAAAGAGTTGAATAGGTAAACTAATTAAGAATACTTGACTTATTCGAGGTGTTCTGGTGACTTTACAGATGCGCGCGAGCGATTGTGCACGTTTGCTGATGACGACAGCTCCACAGTTGGAGGTGGAGCATAGGGCGGAGACGGATAAGTCACCTCTGGCGACTCGAAAATTTGTAGCGATGGTGTGATCATTCCATGAATCACAGACGGTGGCCACTTTGCACCAGCTTCAAGCGTAGCACTGGCTTTGGTTATCGCAGGCGTCTTCTGCAATGTCTGAAGTTTTGGGAGGGATTGTAATTGTAATTGTTTATTGCACAGGGGTTATACCCATGCTTAAAACAGCGAAAAGCGTAAAAACCCAGGAGTATCAAACAACAGGACTGAAACAGATTTCCTAGTAACAGTCCAGCATAAAACAACTACATAATTGTAACAGGCGCGGGGGGGCCACACAAAAAAAAAAGACTATTTATATATTGGCCTATAACACTTCACCAGATAGGATTTATGCACATTTTACTAACTCAGCCCAACCCGAACGAAAAATTAAACACAACTGTATATATCAAAAGTGCATTCCATCTATAACAAACAAAACGGGACCCAAGCAAAAAAATCTTCAATAGCCGTGGCACACGATATCGTGGAAATCGGCATCAGAAGAATATAAAATAGCGCAACTGGAAACATGGTGCACTGGTCGATCTCAATGGGGTCTTCGAAGGATCGTGTACCATAACGACCCTTACTGGAAAGCTAGTTCCGAGGGGATTTGCACAGTGGTAGCTAATGCCTCTAGAAAACTATCCAACATTAAATCGATTCACGAAATTGCGTAAGAGCTTCAGGCTGAAGCTCTTACGGTAGACCTCCTTGAGCCTGACGACGGTGACAGATGACGTCATATTCTGAAGACGGTGAGGGCAGTGAAGGAGAGCCTGCGATAGAGGACACTTAGGGAATACTCTGCTGAGGAACTCCCGTCAACGACAGCAATCTCTGCGAAGAAAAAAGAGCCGAAGTCCGACATAGGCAAAATGTCTTTTTTTTTGGCCCCCCCCCTGTATACTCGATATCGTGAGTTGGGGTGGGCGTGTCACCGGAAGTGACGTGCACTTGATAGAAACTATGTGGATAAGCTGCTTCCAACATACATCGCTGGCTATCAGCAAAGCATGCTGGCAACAGCTTATCCACGCACTTCTATCAAGTGCACGTCACTTCCGGTGACACACCCACCCCAACTTTCGGATATCGACTGTATGTTGAATAGGTCAGATGAGAGATATACAGCTCAGGAATGGACAGAGAAATGCATTTTTTAAAAAGCAGTTAACTCGATAGCTGGAGGACGGAACGATTCTGATGATTTTCACTAGTGGACCAAGCTCCTCATTGTCAGCACACTTAGCGTGATTGGTGGAAGGGCGTGAGGGTATGATTAAGATCACTTCTCAATACCCTTCCACCATCACGCTCAATGACGTCACCAAAATCGCTCCGCCTTCAAGTCTTCGTAACCCTTTGAGGATTTCTACTTTGACTTTTGCGCACGCCACATAGAAATTGGGCCTTTCCAAAATCTCTACATGTGAGTTTCTTAAATTTTCAAAAACTGTGTAAAGGAAAATTAAACAACTCAGAACTCACCTTCGCTTTATCGACAGCATTTTTGTGGCTTGTGTCCATAAAACAGCAACCTCTGACGAAAGTTGATAGTAAAACCGGCAGGAATACAAGACCATGGAGTAGACCGATGGATATTGAAAGGAATACCTGAAGAGGAAGTGTGATGATTCTCAGAAACTGAGTAGTGAACAAAAATGTTACCGTTTTGAAGAAAGTGATGATCATATATGCAGGAACATCGGCAAGCACCGACACGGCAATGATGGTGGAGAGTGCACCCTGAATATTCATTTTAGGGTGGACGTATAAAGGCATGTTTCAGTGGAAAACCTAACCAATTTTCCTCGATGTTCACAATTATGAGCATCTAGCAAGAAAAAGAGCAAGAGACTTCCAACTCTTATTACCCATCTAGCCAGAAAAGCAATGACAATAAAACAGTATTGATCACGCGCTTGCAAAATCGATATCCCTCTCAAAAAGCACGTCAAGTGTCTGGAGCGAACCGTGAAAGAATTCCAAACCTAGCTCTACCTACAATCAACAACTACCAGGAAGGTCTTTCAGGGCGTGACGAGCTTTTTGAAAACGGTCTTTTGCATGATATAGGGGCAGATGCGGGGACCACAGAACCATGTTTAATTTTTCCTGAACGGCCCTCTGAATACCAGAAAAGGGGTCCCTAGTTCGATTCCTCTTGGTGACAAATTTTTGCATTTCGAGTTGACGTTCCAAAATTCGCGCAAAATGGAGTTCTGATTGTTCTGGTTGGTTCTAACTCCATTTTGCGCGAATTTTGGCAAGTCAAAAATTTGTTACCACGAGGAATCGAACTAGGGACCTCCTTTTCTGGTATTCAGAGGGCCGTTCAGGAAAAATTGAACATGGTTCTGTGGTTCCCGCATCTGCCCCTATATCATGCAAAAGACCGTTTTCAAAAAGCTTCGTCACGCCCTGAAAGACCTTCCTGGTAAGTAACTCGCGTGCGTCCACACGCTCTGGCTACTAACCTGGCAGAGCGGCCATCCCAACGAGGCCAACGCGTCACGAACTTTGTCGCTTGGATTCAAAGCTTCGGAAACCACATATCCATAGGTTATGTGGGCCGCATAATCAACAGAAAAACCAATAGACATTATGATAGTGATCATCGAAATTGCATCCTGAATTGAATTTATTTTGGTTATTGAAATTACACATTTTTTGTAGTTCCAATGATAAGTGCTGAAAAAGTGTTTTAATACTGAAATTTCTAAGCCTTGTTTTTAAAACAGCAATCGACGTGCGCAGTCGAGTCACGAAAAGGACCACAGAGCAGACGAGAGGCTACGTGCTTCATCTCTCGCGGCACGACTATGCGCATCATGCTCGTCTATGGTATGCTGTCATTGTCTTCCTAGCATTAGTATTCATAACCGAAGACTGAACAAAGAAAAATCCAAGAAATTCTCCATGTATATTATTCACCAGATTCACGCCCCATAGGGTCATATATCCTACCACACCAAAATCGATGGAACCACAAGCCAATGCCACCCAAAAGGCACACATCGGTTGTGGGATGAGGACAAACGCAATGATAATCATGCACAACAAAGCGATGATGATGTTTTGCACCTGAAAAAAAACTATGAACCTCGTAATAACTAGCTAACTAACTCATCGTAGCAGTTCCACCGCAATACGGTTTAATTTAAGGAAACTTGTTGAAATATCGTAATCTTAGCTATGTCCCCTGAGTAGTTATCTAGACCAGCATCTTTTAAAATCACATCTTGATGCCAAGTGATCTTACATTATCTAAATTCTAGAGCTAAAGTGAGACTAAAATACCTACCGTATTCGGAATGATGATAGCGTATTGATCGGTGAATAACCATAAGGGCATAAACGTAGTGACATTGAATTCCGGCCAGCGAGCTGCCACCTGCGATTCAACAACTGATTAGAATTTGTCACCATGTCACTTCCTTCCTTCTTAGCTGCTGCGCACATTAAACCAGGCTTTGGCGCCGGCGGTTTAAAATATCGATTTTGCGCGAGTGTAATCGATAACATTTCATATGAATGCTGGATTGGCATGGTTAAAAGTGTGGTAGCAGTTCAAGAGCACCCACTCACATCTCTGAACAACAAAGTAGCATCCATCTGTTCTGTAGTGGATGAAATGTCACGCATTCCCAGCAAGAATCTACAACGAATTGAATCTTATGATAACGTATGATATTCCAAGAAACTTCTCTAACCCACCGGAAACTCTTCAAAGTAACATTGCCATCCGTCCCATCACTCCAGTAAAGGTCCTCCGCCCAAGGGTTATTATGCTTTGATGCAAGCCAATGTCGCAGCATACTGTAGAATGCTCCGTCGATGATCTTCATGTCCAGGGTATCGTGGTAGTAGCTGAAGCCAAACTTAAAAACGTCACAACGCAGAGAACTTTCGAACAGCTTCGACTGAATATGACGCGTGCAGTCAAAACGCGGCAGCGGATCAATGTGCATCATTGGCAGATATCGGTCCACAGCTGCACTGCGACCAATTGTGGCATCCAGCAGAAGGTTGTACTAGTGAACTAAAAGTGTCACGTACGATTCCATATCGTTCATCCAAAACTGCACAGCCTCCATTCCTATGGAATGTCGTGTAGTCGCGAAGTCACCAATCATCGCCTGAATTCGATGCCGCGCTGTGGCGTTGCGAAGATCCGGTGCATTATTGACGACTACCTAAAGGGCGCGAATAGTTAGTCGCTTCGGTAAAAAGTAAGCAGAGGTTGTCTACCTGTAAAGTAGCACCATACTTCCAGAAATAGTTTTGCAAGAGTTTGTAGTGCGGTATAGCATAGGAGTCTTCAACGAGTAGATTGATCGGTTCAAGACCTTCCTTAAGCAGAATGTTTTTATTGCGCATAAATATGGTGATAGGAGTAGTGAGCTATCGAAATCCGTCAGCTGCGGTACATACGCTCGCGACGCTCCGTCACCTACGCGTGAGAGGTCTGCAGTTCAGAACGCCATTTTCAGGTGGCTATCTACGAGTTGATTGCAAGTTTGATTGCGCATCGTGGGCATCGTCCTCATTTTTTTGAAGTCAAATGATGCGCAAAACGTCAAATAAATGAACTATGTAAAAAACAATATTTACTAGTAAGAAGCTGACCTTGATCTGAGTAACGCCATAATAGGCGAAGATCAGATAAATTATGTACCACAATAATGCAATGCCTCGAATTACACGATTCATCAGGCAGCGGAGCATACCTACAACGAACACTACCGTAGCAGAGTGAACTAAAATGGATTTCAAATCTTACCAATCCCGGAAAAATCTAGAAATCGCAGCCTCCTTGATGTCGTTCCCTTGAAGGGGATCCGGCTTGGATCCGAGATTAAAAATGCGTTGCGACCATGTGGCAATCTGAGAGGACATTGATAAGTGATTATTATGGCCAGGAATAGAGAGAAGACATGAAAGCAACTTTTAGAGAGCCAGAAGTCACTGCAGGTATTGATTATTACAGAATCAACTTGTGACGCTTGGTGAATGAAGGGGCTAGAAAAGTCCAGTGTGTTTACCCCCAACAATGTTGATTATTCGCAACCAAATAAGAATGAGTAGTACAAATGCAACTAGCTGGCATAACTGGCCTGACCTCTGCTGATCAAACTATATTGCAAAAACCATGGGAGGAGATGACCCCTCCCCCATTAGTGCGTCCCCGCGGTAATCAAGCGGCGACGCCGTTCAAAGCGTTTACAAACACGAACACTTCAACCCTTTTTCAAATCGCAAGTGCATGAAAAAAGTAAGCTTACCTTGAGTTCAGACTCTGGTAGTGTTTTCAGTCCACAGACAGTATTCCGTCCGTCTTCTTCAAGTTTAGTAAACACCGCTAGAAGAGCGGCGAAAAATGTGATCTAGAAGAATGTGGCATCAGGCGGAGAAAAATAACAACAAAAAGAAATGTTGGAGAAAGGAAAATAGAATAGATTTTCCATTCCATCAAATAAGAAGTGCTAGGTCGATGTCTTCATGTTCCGAGACATCTGTCAACAAAAAATCAGGTGTGGCTCACGAGGGAGAAGGCGAACTTTCCGCTTTTCGCACGCGAAATTTTTTTTCGACGGCAGAAACCGGCCCCACCAGGAACCGCTAGCGTCAGGCGGGAAAGAATTCCGCTCCGCAAAAAGCGACAAATTGGCTTTCTGTTCTAGTGATCCGTCTTCAGTTCCCACGAAATCCGCCGCAGCCATGTGGCTCGTTGCACTTATGAAACACAATGGGCTTTGAAGACACATATAAGTGGAATTTCTTTAATAAATGCAAATCGGGTTGGCATACTGAGGGATGTAGTCCAAAAAATAAAAATAATAAAATGTCAGTTGGAAATAAGAAGTTTGGTAGGTTCTTAACAAAATAGCTGATCAAGCAATTGCTTCTTTTAATCGATAAACCTCACCTGATAGATGACGCAAATGAAATAGCCACGCCTGTATAGACACAGAAGATGTGGACGGCTGGGAAGGTGGTAATGGCTCCACACCAAACGACAGCGCGTCTGAAATGCTTAGTTGGATATGATCTGATAAAAGGGTACCTCATAAAGCAGACAGCGTTGGTCAGCCCTTTTTGAGATGCGCTGTGGGTACGACACCATGCAAGGAGGCATACTGAACTCGCTCCGCCCCTCCTGGACAAGTTTCTAGCTTGGAGCCTGGGGTTTACTCGACGGCTGTCTGATTCGGGACAGAGCGCACTAATCAGGGATGACAATAGGCCCTAGGTAAATTCGCTGAAGGGAGGGAATTTGCGTTGCGCGTACGGCCGTAGCTGAGTGGCGCGCAATTGAGATGTTCGCCATGCGGGACAAAATTTAGACCAAACCAGCGCAATTTCACCGCGTCAAGTGAAGGCAGACGCGATGTACCCTGGGAATGCGACAGGTAGCATATTTTACACACATAATGGAGACCACGATTACCTGTGGTAGCAGTGATAAGAATCGCTACTGCCGCATCTGACATGCACTCGGCCATTCGTTCAGCGACCGGCAAACATCGGGAGGTACGGTACGTCGGCAATTGCAAGCGTATCATGATCAGGAACATATTGCGATACCGACAGCTTAAATAAAGTCTCAGAATTCGCAGAGCCAGAATACCTTAGCTTACTTCCGACCAGTAGGTTTTTACTCCTTACTACTTGTTTCCGAAAAACGCGGCTGCACTACGACACAAGAAATTGGCAGGTCACCGGCCACAATCTCACTGTAGGGCATCCCGAATAGCATCAGCGTGCCGAGCGAGGTCACGATACCCATACAAGCATTTATAAGACCTGAAATTATAGAAACATTGCAATGGGTAGAGGAAGATCCTCAACTGAGTGTACTACGGCCAGAAGCATAAGCTGGATATGAAAAGTATCGAAGCACCTACAATTACTTGGGAAGCTAAGAAAGTTGGACAAAGGGGCTCCGCATGAGCAAGTTGGGCTGCAGCAAATCGCCGTACAGAAGTCTCATTGCAGCTCGTTACTTGATAAAGACCAACTTTCGGATCAGTGTCATTCGACAATCCTTTGCAACAAAAGTAAGCCACTCCCTTAACACCTGGGCTGCGATGAACCTCCGAAACTTTTCCGAAGTAGAGCACCTACAACGTGAGGACCACACTGGTGGTTTCGTGGTCATCCGCAGTCATAATGCATAACAGCTTGCTGAAGCCGGAGAATGCAATACAGCACCAATGCTTGCCCAACACACCGACGTGATGCACTGGAAACAGCAAGGTCAGTAGCCAGGGGAAAGAAAAGAATCGTCCTCCATGTTGACGCTCAACCAGATGTCCCACAAACGACCGTGCAAAACCCTAGGCCTATCCAGCTTCGCTTCACAGGCATCTACGCAGCTCTTTTTTAGCAGGAAAAGATTTGAAAGCCGAAACGAGGTAGATATTAAACTCCGATTTCCGTTTCGGTTCGACGAATTCCGCGCTCCCAAGGCTTCTTTTTTTAGGTTCGTACAGTGATTCAGCATGCATCTTGTCGATGAAGATTACAGTTTCTGAAGGTTCTTGAAATGACAAAATTTTTACTATGGGGTGAGATATTCTGTTCTGCAAGTGGAGGTCAAAAACCCGCATTATTTTCTGGACAAACTGATATAACAATAAGGACAAAAATCTGAATCACTGGCATTGTGTCTTTTTTGCATCTCAAAGTTAGCTCCATACCACGAGGCAGCATTGCTCGGCAACCTCGCAGCCTGCTGTCGCGGAGCTTTGACGACAGCGACAAGCGGCAAACTAGCGCGCCGTGCCGCGAAGCTTACGGGGTATGTACAACGAAGTGAATTGTGGGTGGTAGAGCTCGTCGCAGTTGTTATTAGCTTTGATCGTGAAAAGTAAACTATTAGTGAATAAAATAGTAAACGCGGGTGAGGGAGGATGTCAATAAGGGATATCCAGCGCGGCAAAGTGTGCCAACAACATCGAGTAAGAGAGCACTCAGAACCTGCGCCAAAATGGCGAACCGAAGAATCCGCGAAAATGCATGAGGCGCTTAGCTTACTGATTGATTTACTACTACACCTTCTGAGGAGCCGGCAAATGTAGAAAAAGAACGGATGCATGCTGGATATTCCCAAAAAGAATTCAGATCTGAAGGAAAGCATCTGCACACGGTGACGTGCACATTTACCGATGTCGTAGGTATTTCCATTAATTCTTTGCTTACTCTGAGCATGGGAACCGGTGGAGGTGCAGGGAGGCCAAAGAACTCACGCTTATACGAGGACGGTGGGGATGGAGGTGTAGCCTGCATTAACCCTTCAACGACAATACGAATTTGCACCTAGCGCTCATGGGACTATTAAGAAAGAAAAAACCTTTATAAACGAAATAATTAAAATGGTTCGTTTCGCTCCTTCCTCAGACGAACCTTATTATTTCGTCAATCCCCGGAGCTCATCAGTGAGTTGGGATTGGCGAAATAAAGACACAGGGGAAAGACGAATAAACCTTGAGTAGACGTACAAATTATCATGCAGAGGAGCATGCAATGAAATTAATTGTATATTGAACTAAATGAAAGTTTTATAAAATGAAAAGGTGCAAAAATGTTTATACTTTTATGAATAATGGCATAACTCTTTGACTGGTATTCTTTTATTCTTTTTTTTCATAGCTCTTTGCAACGTCAACTATCGCTCACAATTGGCAAATTGTCCCTCGAAGCAGTTTTTCTATAGCATTTTTGAGTTCAACAGTCCACCAGATATAACTGCAGTTCTAGGCTTTCACACTGTACATTTCTTTCAAGAGCATTCGAAGAGAAATTTGGAAGGGGAATCCGGGTTGAAATGGAGTGTCTAAGAGAATTTCGATACACTAACCCATTTCCATATTATTGACGGACTATGAGAAGACGAAGAAGTCTGATTAGTAATTAATATTCAGCCTAATGATGTAAAACCCCAATTAATATGCTGGCGAGCTGAATGGCACATTCTAAAATTCTATATAAATCAGCATTTCTGTAAGCCGCGTTAATCATGGATATTATGGAACTCGCTTATAATTACTGGGGTGTTACAAATGTTATGTGAATGCGCAAAGGAAGAAATTTGAAGGTGGCACCCACCATTGGGTGCCACTGTTCCACGCGGCGTAGAAGTGGCACCCAAAGGTGGGTGCCATTGTCGTCAAAGGGTTAACACACACGCTGCGCTTCGCACGTGACATGGTGTATCACTCTCGCTACATGCTCAGTGAATGCCTACACTGGGATGCCACTCACTGGCCGACTGCGATTACGCGCAAAAATTCTGAACAGGGTAGTGAACAGAAATGATAGGCATCGCTAGTGAAGTAACAACGGCAAAAGTGATCTCACATTATCAGTTGGTGAGACGCGATGAACTACAACAAAGCATGATAGAGGGCGAAAGCGCGCGACAATAAGCCACGAAGTAAGAACGCGCCAAATGTCAGATATAGCCATGCAATCCATTATACAGTGATTTTCATCTGAGCGGTACCAAAACTGAATTGAACTCACCTAAAATGGCCAACACTGGTTTGCTAAGCGACCAATCAATATAGTAAGTGTTATCGATCAGAGCTATCGAGCAAGCCATCGAGAACACTACCAAAAGAATGAACGCAACGATGAATCGGGGCACTGAAAGCGAAAAAATCTGGCATTTTTCGGGAATTAGCTCTCAAAATCAGTAGTCAGAGAATTTATACTAACTCAATGAGTCAGCGTTTCTTTGCAATTCATCCGCTAGTGTTTGCGAGTGGAAATACGTAAATTTTATATAGGGGTCCTCTGGATAGACGGCGAGATGTCGTCCAAGTTCCTGGAAATGAATGATTTTTCACTTCAAAATCGATATTGAATAAGCTCGAGCTCACATTTTCCCATAAGCCTGAAATATAGCTGGTCTCAGTCGGGAAGAATTTCAAATGATAAATCAGAAACCAAGCCTGGGCGCTTGCCAGAATGCTGGAGCCATTTTCGGTTTTCATGAGCTTGACTCCGCCCAACGCTCCACCCAAGTATCCACCTCTGAAAAGCGATTTTGGACAGCGAGAAGACAATAGCCGCAAAAAATACCACAAAAGCAATTACATGTAGAGGTGTATTGTTGGAGGAGTAATACTATAATCAACCAATAAGAGCGCATTTATACTTGGCGCTGAACACCCGCCCAAAAAAAGTTGGAGCAAAGTATGAAAGCTTTCTTAGAGGGTTGTAGTGACAGCAATATCCAATCGGTTAATGGTCATGCGATCAGTTTTAGGAAAATCAATCATGAAGAAGACTAGGTACTTTGCAGCTCTTTCGTTACACTGCTCAAACAGCTCACATGCTTACGAAACTCAAAAAAATGTGTTGTGGTCATTTTGGGAAGTCTCCAGTCAAGAACTACGTGATTACCCATCTATTTCTATACCTTCCCATAGGATTTCTCCCATTCCAAATCTTTGCACCTACTGCGCAGTGCGTCCGCTCGCGGCCGCCGCGGTCATATCGTGTTTGGCTCGTTCTTGAGTGGATAACTTGTCCTCATGCGGGTTTCTTACAAGCACTCGGTGACTTCAGAAGAAGACTCCTCTATCGCACATTCCAAGCGACTGTGCAACTATAGTGCTTCCCGAGAGGTCACTTCTGACAACCCATGCAAAGCTTTAGTTGCTGCAAAAACTTTGGCTTCAAGTGAAAGTGAAACCCTTAACCCTTACTCGGTTCCAAAGCGGAAATACGGAAACGTGATGTTGAAGCCATGATTGTAGAGATCAGAGAGCACGTGAACATGCTTGTTAGCCGGACATCCATTATCTGAAAATGATAACCTAGAAAATCATTTTTCGATTAGACAGAAGAAACCAGACAGCTCACCTTTATATTGAAGACACAAGATCATGATAGGAGTAATAGTGGTGTTTATAGAGGACACGTACCCTGAAGCGAATGAAAACCATATATGAAAACCCATTCAAAAAACAACAAATACAATAAAAACTCTACCACCATTACTGCCCCTAGATCTCTTATTTTATTCTTTATCGCAACTCTGCCTGTAGGGCTAATTCGAGGTTCCGAATACGAACAATCTAACGCATATTTTCTGCTCTCCTAAGCTTTTTCACTTAGGCCCCTCCCAAGGCCAACAATAAGTCTATGGAGAGGGGGACTGCGGGATGGGTAAATTACGCATCATGTGGCAAAAAATAACTTGCTTGTGATTTCAGAGTGAGTGGTTTGTTTACCTATGTGCCTTTCCCTCCCCAAAGACTTAATAATGACTCATATAGTCAGCGAGAGGGCGTAGACGAAAAAAGGTGTCTAATGGAAGCGTCGATAAATTAAGTGTTTTCGTTCGTAATCTAGGCATTTAATTTACTGTAGGCAAAGTTTTGACACACAAAATGAAAGTTTCAGCTCCGGAGTAATAGTGCTGATTAGTTCCAGTAAAAATATAAAGAAGCGTAACTAAATGTGACCAAATTAATAGTAACGGCGCACGCTACTCTGCCTGCTATACGAAGTTATTACGGAGTAACTTGCAGCAAGCTGCAGCAAGCGGCAGCATCAACAGTGAGTGAAAGGCGCTACCAAGCGTGTATGCTGTGCCTCCACTTTAAAAGAGGGCGGAAATTCCCTCTGAACTTCTGAACTTCGGTAAGAGACAGTGCAACGTTGCCGTCTACAGTAATCCCAATTTTTGCGGGAGGAAGCTTTTGGGTAGGTGTGAAAGCGAATGCGAATTTTTTTTCGGGGATTTCTTTCCTAGAAAAGTCATTCTAGGGCAGTTGTCTACAAGGAGGCTTGGTGATTCAGCGCTCTGTAGAGTTACTTGGGTTTGTTTGCCACGGAATGTGACTTCAAAATTGGTACGTAATGTCAACTGCGAAGGACCCTCTGCTTCCGAAAACCAGACCCGCATCGAGTGCAGACCACACATCGTAAGTGACGACGACCTTCGAGTAAATCTGGTTACTAGTGGTTCATAGTGATAGCTGATACTCTGCAACAGGCTAATCATTTTATTGGCAAAACGCATACATTTCGCAGAGGCCGTCGTCACTTGTGGTGTGTGGTCTGCACTCGACGCGCTTCTGGTTTTCTGAAGCAGAGTATCTGTGCTTTTTTGTCTGGACTCTCACGCGTTGGTTGACAACTGCCCGTAATCGCAAAAAATGGGATTACTGCAGTCGGCACGCACCTTCGGGGTGGGTGAAAATTTCAGTGTGGCAAAAGCTGAATGTGTGAGATCACAGTAGTCATGAGCCGCTGTTCAGGCGAGAGAGCGCAGGCGGAAGCACCGAACTCTGGCGGTTTAAAGGACCGAGTTCAAGTAGTCCTGTCGACACCCTCCCTAGTTTTGTTGAAAGATCTCCTTTTTTAAAATAGGGCCCTGAAATAGGCTCCTGCGTGGAACTTTGTACGCATCTAATGATTGCACATTTATCATTGTTGACGCGACCACGATATAGTCTGTTTATCGAGAATTTCGCCGATGCCAGAGAGGAAGAGGAAGGACGGGGAAGTAATACCACAATTTTGTGCACAATGCCCCAAAAAGGACTCACTTCCCTCTCTCGTAAAGGAATGACAGCGTAAGGTTTCATTAGGCGGCATCTATGGGTACCCTCTCCTTCAAAAAGCGAGAAAGTGTTGGGTGCAGACCATGCACCGCAAC